CGGGGCTCGAACCGGCAACCTTCCGATTACAAGACGAACGCCCAACTCTTGAGCCACGATCGCCCCTTATACAGAAATCATTGTTATTATTACTTTAATGTGGAGGTAAACATGATTGCAATATAGTGTTTTTTCAATTTCAGCATAGTCAATTTAACAGTGCATTTAAGCTGGCAGAAGGGATTCACATTTGCAGATCTGATGTATTATTAAACAGAGTTTGGAGATTCTCTGGTAAAAACAGCAACCCCTAAACATATTAATTTTACACACAGTATACCCCAAACCTAAGGGACACACAAAATGATATTAATATTAATGTAATAAGCAACACACAAAACAATGTCAGGGACTCATTATGACCTAAATTGCATTTTTATTTTCATTTTGAATGGCAAGAAGATGAAATATAAAGATATGTAACCGTTTTGTCTTCCATTTGCTTGAATTGTCCCTTTATAGTCTTTGAGCTGTGTGGGTGGGGGGCAGTGGGCTTGTCAAATTCGATTTTTCTCTAGTACTGACAAGTACATGAAGAGGTGATAACAGAGGGGACTGTTTAATCTATTTCTTTATTTTAACTGATGCATCACTGAAAGCAAGATATTTATAGGTGTTATGTTATCATATGACACAGCAGACAATCTATCATAAGGTAGACTTCTGAGGGGCTGGGCAGCTTGACAGGTTGTATCTGTTGCCTGTCCAGATATTGAAAGTGGCATTTCCAGCCACTGCATTACTACTGTTGTTATAAATAACATTAAATAACTGTGAAAATACTCGCGCTCAATCCACTGTATATCGATTAACCCATGTACTAATACCCAGTGATAAAGACGGATGATAGTGTAAAATGTTTTCAGTTAAATCCTCTTTCATTTCTTAGACTCATTTTGGTGCCACAATCTCTATTAAAAGAAGCCGTACCAGAACTTGGCAACCTATAAGATGCGCTGTGTTCTGTGGATTGTAAGTAAGCATGCTGTAAAAAAGGAAAAAGTAAATAAATAAATTGTTGGAGTACAATTTAAAAAAAAGCTTGCCAAAAGGCACATTTATAAAAAATGATTATATATAATATAAAACAAGAAGAGACAGGCTGAAGGAAGGTAGGCATTCCAAACACAATTACAGCACTTAATCGCAATGTAACAGCTGAGCAGAACATTACAGATTAATGATATAACAATGCGTCTGTGCAGCTTTGTCCATCCATTTCTCCACTATTGTCAGCCCTTTGAATCAAAGACTCTGCACTTTTGATCATTATTAATAATAAACACTAACCACTAAGTGCTGGTGACAAATCATGGTTGTAAAAGAATGAGAGGGAATAAATCCCCATTACCAGAACACATTCAAGAGATTTTTAAATGACAGATCTTTCTGTGTTCCCTGCTCGGTCGGAGAATACTGCAATGCTGCAGCACTTTTTATCCTTCCTGCTCCTCACAGTAGCACACAGTGCACGAATGTGCTATATTCAACTATGGTGCATTTACATACAAATGAGCTGCAACAGGTTATAAATATAGAAATTATGTTTTAGCTGAATGGAACACTAATCTTATTTGTATTGTCCATTTTAATATTGTCTAAGTAGTATGGTAAAGCAATTCTACTCAAGTCTAACCTTCGCTGAAGCTGTAGTGTCATAACACAGACACTAAGCATGCACCACTTACCCAAGGGGGTTTAAAATAAATGGAGAAATTAAGCAATAATACATTTGGGAACAGCACCAATTATACAATGAGGTTTTGTGGGCGTCACACGACAAAAGGAACAAATAAGTTTTTCGTTGATTATGATTTTATTTGTTTTTTGTTTTTTTACTGCCTCTGGGGGTTTTTTTTTTACTGCCTTGGCTGTGTTTCTTCTAAAGGAACACAACAAACATAGACCAGAATCGCAAAAGATGACCTACTGAGTAAATTGGTTTACATCCAGCCTCGCAGCAGTTTGTGGTATGTAATGGGAAAAGCCTGCCATTTGACTGCAGTATTTTGTGATGGACTCACTCGTAAGAGGAAAGAAATGTAGTATTATACAAATATATTTCAATAAATACTACATAATAGCGTTTGATAACTATACAATTTAAAAAAACAAAAAAACAAAAAACAACTCATGATGTGATATTAGTATATAGTATATCAGAAATCTGTTCACTATTTTTATTACAAATTATATCAGTAAGGAAGCTGACTAAATATTAACTGATAATTTATGGCAAAGGGGTGGGATTAAACAAGTGTTTACTTCTTCCCACTCCCTTTCAACATGTAAATTAATAGGGGTTTTTTTGTATGTAATTTGTACAGTGTATATATATATATATTTTTTTTCTTTCTTATTTTCTTTTCTAAATGTACTTGTATATTGTTCACATGTTGAAATAAATTACCAATCAATACAATAAAACACAGCTACTGTCACTCCATGTTAACGCCTTGTGCTCTATTATTGTATGATGGCAGATTTAGCAGTTGGTTACTTTGTCTTAGTTCATCTTTAGAGAATATACTGTATTTCTGCACATAACTATGATTTGGGCTTAAATGTGAGTGAGGATAATGAAACTTTAAGCCAGCTTTTAAAGCAATTCACTGCCTTGTGGAGTCAGCAGTGAAAGGGAGGCAACGATTCCCACAAGAACTGAAACAGTGATCTTATTAGCTAAGGCTCAAATACAAGTCTGTTAAGAGTAGAGATGGTGGATTTAAGAGAGCAAGCGGACTTGCAATGTGCCTGTAAGTAGCCTCACAGTTATAATGGTGCAAATTAACAATTCACCCTCAGCTAATGGCTACTGGTTATTTAGTTTTCTCACCTGCTGACTTTGTAAATTCATTAACATAAATACGTTCTGTTACATTTAATCAACACTTTTTAATTACTGTAACTGCTGTTTATGTTAAACAGTACACCTTATTATACATTCATCTCTCAAGACTCTTATCTAATGTGGAAAAAAGCTGTCCTCGTGTCCTATTACAAAACATGTTCTGCCCATCCAGTTCAGTAATTTTGCATTGTTTGTCCATCTTCTGCTTAGGTCGTAGCAAAAAAAAGGAAACCTGCTTGAATAAGGAGTTGCACCCGCTGGAGGAGACAGAGACATGTCCTTGTGATGAGTTTTTGTCCCAGCCCTGTGGGAACTGGTCTGCTTGCATACTCCCTGATCCTTCGGTCTTGGGATCATCACAGGGCTGGATGAGCCATCGAGAGGTGAAGGAGTGTGGCCAAGGTCTGCGCTACAGGGCTGTTGCCTGCATTAACCAGCAGGAGAACCTGGTTAGCCCTGCACTCTGTACAGAGTCAGGTAGGACTAATTGAGATATGCCTACAAATTACACATTTTAGCTAAAAAATAATGAGTATCCTTCATAAACTACAACATTGTATTAGATACATGCAACATAGATTATATCTCTAATTTATTTCACTGTATATAGTAAATTGATGATGAAATTTGATGAGAGTATGAGCAATTTAACTTTTAATGTGAAAGAAAAATGTCAGTGACTAAAACACAACTGTATGGTCGTTTCCTTGTGTCGTGAAGCCGTGCTGTGTAAGTCTAGCTAAAAACCAAACGCAGAGAACAACATTTTTTTAACACACTGTAAAAAGCGTATACAGCATAGAAATTAAATGCTCATTAGTCAGTTTATTAGCCCTCGGTCTCACGGTGGGTAAGTCCAGGGTCTGGGGTAACACTCGCCAGTAGCGTGACTGTCTGACATAATTAATGTGATCTGCACTGCAGCTGCAGACTAAGTCTGAATCATCCCTGCCCATTCTGTCTGCCAATTTAAATTCCAGGCTACATTGTGGAGGTTTGCCACATCCCTTGCCCCATAGACTGCAAGCTCAGTGACTGGTCAGCTTGGTCCCCCTGCAGTGCATCCTGTGGCAGCGGGTTAAAGATCAGGTCTAAGTGGCTGAGAGAGAAAGCTTTCAATGGAGGACGACCGTGTCCCAAACTGGATTTAAAGAACCAGGTAAGGCTAGCACCAGTGTAGTATATAGAATCCAATACAAGAGGAAAAAGCAAATGTTGAAAGGTAACTGTTTGTTATGAATCTGTCCTCAAAGTGGAATTCGTATTCACTTGTTGCTTGATCTTTATTAATATTTATTAATAACAATTATGGACGTTCAACTATTACAATAAAATTTACACAAGGAGACACAGTAAAACCACACAGAAATGAGCTCATCAGCTGTTTTGCTGCTTATTTAAGTTCCTTTTTCTCAGACTTGGTCATTTTCAGGGATAATACAGTTTTCAATTCAGTTTTATTTATGTAGGTCCAAATCATAACAACAGTCATCTCAGGCACTTTATAAGGTAAAAACAGTACAATAATAGAGAAAAACACCAACAATCAAACAACCCCCTTTGAGCAAGCACGTGGCAACAGTGGGAAGGAAAACCTCCTTTTTAACAGGAAGAAACTCCCAACACAACTAGGCTACGGGAGGAGCAGCCATCTACTTGACTGGTTGGAGGTGATGGGAAGAAGACAGAAATAAAGACAGACTATGAAAGAGAGCCAGAGATTAATAATAACAAATAATGGAAGTCACGTGTACTTCTGCAGTACATGCAACACAGAATTATGCTAAATGTGGAAACAAATACTTTCTTAGTGCTAATAGTGTTCTCCTTGCTGTACGCAGGCACACACTGTCTTATACAGGAAACATTTGTACGGTGCATGCTGCAGTTTCCATGTGAGTGTTTGACACATCTCATTTAGGCTTTTAGGATACCTTTGATGAATTCTGCTCACATTTCAATGACAAGGTTTATTACCCTTTAGGCAGAGGGACTCTGGGGTGATCAGTTCATTGCCTGGTGTTTTGAGTCGCCAAATCAATGGCCTTGCAAGACATGCCCTTTCCTTGACATAAAAATGAAAGAAAATTAAGTAACAAAAAAAAGAGAGGATAGAGAGGAGGGAAGTGGACAGATGGGAGATTTTGATATTCCACAGTCAGGTTTTTTTGCACAGCCCTGAATATTTTGTGACAGCACATCTCTCGTGGGGTCACGGTTTAAAGAGGGGAAGTGTTTTATGAATGCTGCCTCTATGCTTGAATGGGCTTGAAAGGACACTTTAGTTTGTAGAGGTCAGTATGGAAATGAGGCATGGCTGTGTGAAAAATATTCTAGTGTTCTAGTGGAGATTTGTGTACAGATGGTTAAGTGCCCACTAACAAGGTCTATATGGCCCCTGTTGTAATGCCCTGTAATAACCCTCAACACTTAAATTGGAGCTCACTGTTGCCCATGTCCTCATGGATTTATCCAGACTGTGGAGTGGGGCTCATTGTTAACATTGCTAAATTGGCCATTTAAAGTGAAGTACATCTGTCCAAAGTGTGGGTGGAGAGATACTCTAACCTTTGTGCTAGTTCTGTAGGCATAGAGCTCAGAGGGTGCTTCCTCCTGTTATGTCAAATGAGGAAACTTCTAAATGGTCTCAACAAGATGTCAAAGAAAGATTTATCCTCTGGTTTATCCTTGCTTTGTCCTAAAGTAACTATCGTCCATTGCTCTCTATTTTTACATTTGTAAAAATTTAGTTAATGTCTGTTAGGAGTATTTCACGACAACGAAAATTCTCAATCCTAATTGGTCTCTCTTCTTTCACAAACACTTGCTCTCATGTCGCTGACTCTGAACTGTGAATCGCTGTAGCCAAAGTCTAGCCTCACACCTACCAGCAGATGTTTCCCCTTGAGCCCCAGCCAGAAGTGATTGGCTCGACAGTTATAAAATTTACAGCATGCCACAAATCATCTTCTTGTCACACGGCTGAGTGAGCGCAAAAGATAGGGGGAGAGATAGAGATAGGAAGAGCCAGAGCAAGAAGGAAAACGAAAGCGAGAGAGAGAGAGAGCCACCATGGAAATAATGAGCAATAATGGCTACAATGTCAAAAAGGCTGTGCAGAAGCTGCTCTGTAAAGTAAACTCAAAAGTGTGGTGTTAATGAGCAAGTCCATATGTATGTATATATTTTCTTTTTGTACTGATAAATGAATGACCATGAACAAGTTAATCATGATGAATAATGCATGCATCACTCTCACTGAAAAAAGTCCCCAAGCTGTGGTGTACAAGTGGGAAATGAGTAAGTAAAGAATTAACCTCATGTTGAAGAATACCAAAAACTCGGTACTCTTGTTTGCACTTTGATAAACGCCACCACTAAACAGCAGTTGTTCAGTCACAACTAGCCAATGTTTTTGATTTTATCCATGTATGGATCCAGCTGTAACACTGACTGTATATAAATCATAGCAAAACTATGTTTAGATTAATTGGAGATAGACCAAAATGTGAACATGAGTGGGCGCATATCTATCTTTCTATCATTAGTATGTACCTAACATCCAAGGTCAAGCTGAGTATAATTTCAGTTACAGGTTACCAAAAAAAGTGAGTATATCTGTGTAAAACTCATTCACTGAAATAATGCAAGTTAGTCCTCATCCAGCACAATGGGACACATTTCATCTCCCAAATCGACCCACCCATCCCAAAGTGAGTTGTGGTGGGTCATTTGCTCGGACAGTCCCAGTGGATGACCTAGGCCACTCCTGTCAGCTAGCAGCTATCAACAGGATATTTGAGTCTACAATTCACCACTGATAAGAAGATCTTCTAAAAGAAAACTGGAAAGATCTCGTCTGGTCTAATGAGTCTTAATTTTTACTCCAGCATTTGGACGGTAAAACAGGGATCCACCTCAGACTGCTGGTGGTGGTGTAATGATGTGGGGGATATTTTCTTGACAAACCATAGGCTATGGATCATGTCATTGTGTTCACTGTATTCAATTGACCTCCAGAGTCACCAGATGTCAATCCAATAGAGCACCTCTGGGATGTGGTGGAATAGGAGAATCACATCATGAATGTGCAACCAGCAAATCTGCAGCAACTGCATGATGCTGTCAGTATCTACCAAAATTTAACTACCTTGCCAAATCTATGTGCAACAACAC